TGTTTATACTCTTTAAAATTCACTTCTTTTCCTTATTTTGTCTTTTTTATCAACACCTCAATTGATGTAACAAATATATCGTTGTTATGCTTATATTTATGTCTTTTACTTCTTTTAAAAATGTAATAGTATATTTTCTTTATGTATGAGAAAAGACTTCATGTCCCGAACTTTAATATATATATATATATAAGATAAAGAAAAATAAAATGTACAAGAATTAATAATCTTATTAAAATAGTTTTGAGTAATCTTAGAAGTGTGTGAAAGTAAATTCATAGATAATTTTATGTTTGCCCCCTGATTTATGCCTCTTATGTCACTTTGTCTAGAGGTATTCATCAAATTCAATCCAACCTATTTTTGTCATAAAACAACCAACCCAATCAAAGATTGTTTTTTTTAAAAAATATATCCGATTCAATCCAATTACTAGTGTATTATCTAATCTAATCCAATTAAGATCGGTTTTAATTGAATTGGACTAATCATTTTTTTTTACTTGAGCTTTTTGAACCATTATTATTTTTTATTTTTCTGTTCAACCTATTTGTTACATGTTTTTGATAAAATTTAAATACCACAGTTGAAAAAATGAAGCAAGAATTAACATCCATAAATTTAAAAAATTATATAAACTCCTAATTACTTCAAAGTTGATTAAACATCTAACAAACAACTTAAAGAACTGAAAATAAAGTAAAACAACCAACCCAATCAAAGATTGTTTTTTTTTTAAAATATATCCGATTCAATCCAATTGCTAGTGTATTATCTAATCTAATCCAATTAAGATCGGTTTTAATTGAATTGGACTAATCATTTTTTTTTTTACTTGAGCTTTTTGTACCATTATTATTTTTTATTTTTCTGTTCAACCTATTTGTTACATGTTTTTGATAAAATTTAAATACCACAGTTGAAAAAATGAAGCAAGAATTAACATCCATAAATTTAAAAAATTATATAAACTCCTAATTACTTCAAAGTTGATTAAACATCTAACAAACAACTTAAAGAACTGAAAATAAAGTTACAAACTAATAAATATATAAAAAAGTTCATAAAAAATAATAAAAAACATAAAAAGAAAGTGTCCAGGAGAAAAGTAAAATTTAAATTTTGGACCAAAATATAAATACATATTTTTAGATAATATATAAAGGTTGGATTGATTAAGATTGGATGTTTTGATAGTAAAATTAACATCTAATTTAGTCCAAGTAAGTTTGAGGTCGATTATCCGTCAAAAATGGATTGGATTAAATTAGACTAGACGGTTTGATCCGTATATTGGATGCGATAAATACCCCTAACTTTGCTCTCCGACTTTTAAAATGCACCAACCCATTCCCTCAAACTTTGGCCTTTTAAAAGTCTGGGGCAAAGTAATATAAGTGACATAGTTCAGTCGGCAAATATGAAAATTATCTTAAATTTAACCTTTCAAAATTAAGTGGAGTGTCTATTTAGAAGGTGGGTGTGAAAAGTATAAAGGGGGGTGCCAAATGAATTTTACTTTTTTTTTTTTTTTAAGTAAAAAGAATAAGAGCATTAAGAAAAGACAATTATGTCAACAAAAGACATAATTAGATTGCTAGCGCGCGTTTTATTATATTGATTCAAAATTTTGTTGTTGATCCAGCAGTGGACCAACAGAGACAGGATAAAGACAAAAACCTCCCCGATGACGAGCATAGAAATTACAGGAAAGACAACGAATATGTTGTTTTTAAATGTGAATCATCCAAAGCATCGACATTTATTCATCATTGCCACCAACAACGATGTTTCTTCTTTGTAAGCATCGCAGAATTAAGCATGATATTTTTCATGGATTGTCCTTGGTCTTCCCGTTTTCTTTCATTTACTATTTATGGTTGTTGTTCGTGTAACGTCACTCACCACGGCAGTCCTTAAGATTCTCTGGTTTCCTCTAGCCCAACCTTTGGATTTCTTGCCTTAATAGGACTCTTCGTTATTAAACAAACAAGATTGATCAAGTGTTTCCAGTTTTTAGCAATATTTCATTCTGGGGTTGTTTCTTTTGAGCCTTTTTCTAGGGTCTAAAGTGATAAAAAGACAAAAGTACTTTCTTTAGTTGTTTCTGTTGAACAAATTTGATATTCATTTGATGTCCAGGAGAGTGAATTGATGTTTTATTCATTTTTGTAAAGTCAATCACTAATTAGCTCACAGTTCTGAGGATGCAGACCTCGTCGAAGCAGAGGCGTAGCGGCTATGAACCCTCGGACACAGAGACAGACTTCCATGAAAGTCCTTGGCGTGACCTCAATCCACACAATAGAAAATTGGATTTTGAAGAGCCAGGATTAGACTTTGACTTACCAAGAAACATCAGTCCTTTGAAGACCAACCGGAGACACTCCTCGAGGTTTGAACATGTGGACTCCTCTCCGAAAAAGAACTCTTCAGACATCTCAGCTCGGAGGAGACACAGCAGTAAGTCACCTTACAAGCCTAAGAGATCAGAAGATGGTAACAATCTTTATAATGGAAATATCAGTCCTTTGCCAAAACCTCACATGAGAACTTATCATTCTCCTTACAAAGAAGAGCCTAATCTGGATAACAGTGAATTTGTGTATTCATACAGAAGGCAAAATGACAGATCTTTAGTTCAACATCAGTTTGTTGAAGTTGGTATGGCAAGCAGGAAACCAAACTACACGATGAGCAAGAGATCAGTGACTGCCCCAAGACTAAGGCCAAAAGATAAGAACCGAGAGGAGAAGTATGATAAGGTATCGAAACCGGAGAGAACACACTCACCAACAGCTCAAAAGCTAAGAGATCAAGCTCCCCAACCAAAAGTGGGCCCCTCAAGCGGCGAAATCAACGAAAGAGTTGCGTACGCAAGGCTTGCTAGAGATCGAGTGCGTATTGGTCCTGCAATTTATGAGAGTACTGATTCCATTTCACCGGGTGATATCTTCTTTTCTCGCGAGGGGACAGTTCTAGCATTGCCAAAGAATGGTGGTTTGGAGAGCCATTTTAGTCCGAAACCGAAGATACTTTCCGAAAGAGATTCTTCTTCTCAGTTGAGAAGTAGAGCAAATAGTAAAATTGACCCTAGTAAGGAATCATCTAGTGTTGGTTTATCACAAACAGGTACAACTATTAGTTCTTCTGGAAGCAAACTGGGAAGTGGAAGGTTTAGCACTGAAACTAGTAAACTGAGTGATACTAGTACTAGGACAACTGAAAGCATGAGGAAGTTTACAGAAAATAGAAGGAAGAGCCAAAAGGAGACATGGTTTAATTGTATGAAGAAAGGGCCTTGTGGGAGTGCGAAAAAATCGCCCGAGAGAACTGCGAGAATCACCACATTGAATGAAGCATTATTTATTGAAAAAGCCAGGGTGGCTGAAAATCTCAAACAGTTCTGGGCTGATAAGTATCAACCTGGCTCCTTAAATGGATTCACTTGCCATAAACAAGAAGCTCAACTTCTCAAGCAACTTGTATGTGATCTCGACCTCTAGTTAATTTGATTATCTATCTAGTTGCTAATGCATGCTTTTCTCTCAAATGATTTTATGTTTTGTTTTCATTGATATGTTTCCTCAGCAGAGATTATGCATAAGATCACACTTTATTTTTTTTTTTTGGATTTTAGGTATCTGATGACATATGTCCCCATATTTTGCTCAAGGGACCAACTGGTTCAGGAAAAAGAGCTTTAGCAATGGCACTTCTGCGTGAAATATATGGTGATGCAAGTTGGGATGTATGTTCATGTCCACAAGATTGAAATATCATCGAACTTCTATGCCTTATGAGTATAGCTTTAAGATGGACTTCATTTCCTTTTCCTGTTTTGCAGGTATCTTATGATTTGAGATTCTTCCAGATTGAGGTAATATATGTTCTGTACTTTACTTTTCCATTTCCGAGTCAAGAATCCTCAGAAATAAACAAAGCTTTGAATAAAGTCCGTCATAAAAAGGTGTTGATTATGTTGTATACCACTTTTAAAGTCTAGTTATTCATCGGTACCACTATGATGTTAAAATTATGCTTAATTTTTTCACAGAAGTACTATGTTTAAAATTCAACTTTAAAAGTTACTGACAAAGGCTACTTTGACAGGAAAACCAGCGAATGCAAGTGGTTGTCCCAATTAAATCAAGTCCTCACCATTTGGAGCTCAATGTGCACTTAGAATCAAATGCCAGATATGCACTAATGGGTTTAGTCAGGGAAATAACTAAGGACTTTACAAATATTCCTGAAATCAGCACGGCTAATCTCAACCCGAATTATAAAGGTGATCAGATTCGAAAACATTCTTAATTTCCCTTTAGACAGATTTGCCCTTTAGCTCAAAGCTAACATGGTTCTTATCTTCTTAGCTACAGTAATAGTCCTTTATGATGTTGACAAAGCAGCAGATAACATTCAGCATTTGATAAAATGGATTTTGGATTGTTACACCGATGCTTGTAGACTCATACTATGCTGTGAAGATGATTCAGAGATTGTCGAGTCGGTGAAAGACCAGTGCAAAGTTATCGATGTCAATGCTCCTATAACTCATGAGGTAAGCATCATAAAGATTGTTGAATTTCCATACTGTAACACTTGTTCAACTGCTGAAGTGAGCAATATGACTTCAATCCTTTCTTCTATTTAGATCATGGAAGTTCTTATTCAGATAGCGAGAAAGGAAGGATTCGATTTATCCATGGAGTTTGCAGCTAAGATTGCCATTAAATCAAAGCAAAATCTGAGAAAGGCAATCATGGCTCTTGAAGCATGCAAGGCACACAAGTAAGCTTTAAATAGTGAATAAAAAGAAAAGAAAAGAACAAATGTAAACAAATTTTTAAGACCATATTATTATATTTCAATTATTTTGGATGTATTTATTTGTCATGCAGCTATCCTTTTGTGGAGGACCAACCAATTCCACTAGGGTGGGAAGAGGTTCTGGTTGAAATGGCTGCAGAAATCCTAGCCAATCCATCACCTAATACGTAAATACTTAAAACCTTATTCATTGATTTGGTCATGCCAAATTACGGAAATATTATGAGAAAATTTCAGGTTTCACTATTGTTTTTTCCAACTCTATTATTTTTGCCTGCACAATTTTAATGCCACTATGCAGGATACCGAAAGATAACTTGTAGGTTATGAAAGATAGCATGTAGGTTATGAAAGATAACCTGTAAATTGTTAGTGGCATAAGATAAATTTAACAATATTGACAGAAATAAAATAGTATTACTTTATTGATGACATTTTTAAAAATTATCCAAATATTATCTCCTTAATGGAACTATTAATGGTCACAGTTGCTTTGGTAATATCATTATCTAGTGAAACTCGAACTCATTAATAATGTGAGAAATAACCTTGAAAAGTGCCTTTAACAGGTTATTTCTAATAAGGGGAAGGCTTCAAAAGCTTCTAGTTGACTACGTTCACCCCAAACTGATTCTACAGGTATTGCATAAAATCAATCTTTTATAGTTGCTCAACAAAGTAAACTACATTTTTTTTTTCCTTTTTGTTGATAGAGTGGCATTTTTAATGTGCAGAAACTTGTGGAACAGTTCCTAAAGGGAATTGAGGCAAGCATTAAAAGGCAACTTTATTATTGGCATGCTTATTATGTGAGTTGTTCCTTTTTTTTTTTAATAAATATATGCTTATTATTTGAGTTGGCCAAACCGTGAAAGTAACCAAGTGGTTGTTGTTACAGGATAAGAGACTACCAACAGGACCAAGCGCTTTGCTTAAGCTAGAAGGTAAGATAATTATGATCTTGTAATCAAGTCATATCATGATTAATGCGACTCAACTAGCTAGTTAATTAGTTACTTCTAATTAAATGCACAATTTTGTCTGCAGAATTCGTGGCCAAATTCATGAGCATATACAGAAAGAGTTTAAACAATATTCGTCAGTTAATCATGTAGTTTATATTGGGCAGCTTCAAAACTTCACCGTGCGTAGAGGCCTTCATTAAGATTGTGATTCCAAACATTGCTGCTTTATAATGTTCGCTCAGAAAGATTTGTAAGATTAACTCAAGTCTTGCGAAGTTTAAATACAATAAATTCTCTGTTGAGTGACAAAAAATGAATACCGCGTGGTTTTAATGGTTATTTTATTATTTATTTATTAAGGGGTATCGTTACTTAACAGCAAGACATTAATCTGATGGTTATAATAAATTAAACAGTTAATTAAAAAGTTATGATAATTAATAAAATTAACTTATTAAATTTTTATATTTGATAGTTACTACTGATGGAACCATTAAAAACTCCTTAATATATATACTACTCTTACCTAAAAAACTTGTGATTTTAAATACAACGCCATTGTGACTTTTCTCTCGCGCGTAGAACATACAATGTTGTTACTAACATTCTATTGTTTATAAGACGTTGTCGTTTATCACGCTAGCTTTTTCCAGTCATTTTTCCGCAACATCGAATTCTTATGTACTTTTAAAGTTTTGTTGTTCCTCAAATTCTAATATATAAAACATTGGTCTTATGATATATCTTGTTAATAAGATTTTGTTATTTCTGTAAGATGTTTCCCAAAGATGTTGCTTTTGTACTATATCGGCTTTCCACAAGCTTTTGTGAGAGAGACTAGTTTTATTTAGTATACGTTTCTCCAAATTTAGTTAATTTTATGATTATTCTGTGGTGTAGAGAGTTAAAGGGGAGAGATGAAGAAAAAAGAAAAAGTTAGAGAAAATGAATGCGAAACTTATCAAACTTAGTCAAGCAGTGACTCACTTAACAAAATATAGTCAACGGTACAATTGTGTTAGTTAACCTCATAAGAATACACACTAAAGACATATAAGAAGTTCAAGAGAGGGGGGCAAGAAGGGCAAAAAGAAAGTTAACAACAGGCACCTGTTAAAAGATTTGGTAATATATACTACAAAGGCTGCACGTGCAAGCCACTTGCTTGCTTTTGCAGCTCAATCAATGCGATAGGTCATTACAATTTTTATGTAATAAAGACAAATGTAATAAGAAATAAACTATAACAATGTTTTGTGTCAAATTAGGAAGAAACATTCTTAACTTTAATTGCTTTCTATAACTAATATAAAAGAGTGAAACACTTTGCTGTTGTTGATGGTCATTAATTCATTGTACTTATTGTTGAAGAATAAAAAGACAGGTATATAAGGTAGGGAGTCTTAAGAGATTTCTATCAACCTACGTTTAACATTTTATTCAATAATGAATACATATAGTCAAGACTGAATACATATAGTCAAGGCCAAATACATTTAAATATTTGAATTGATAAAAAGTAAAAAGAGCAAAAATCAGTGTAAAGTCCTGATCTAACATTACCTAAATCAGTATTTAGAAGAGAAGGAACTCCTTTTAAGCTAAACAGCCTCAGTTTCCACAAATAAAATTCCTACGCTGCCAAACTAAAATGCAACTTGAAAAAAGGAAACCCAAGTAGAGATCACAAATTGCAAAAGAACAAATGAGAACATACAACATCAAATTGTAGAGAATAAAAAATGATTTCCCAAAAAAATAAATAAATAAATAAAAGATTTATGTTGAAGGTCATTCACTTTCCACTATTTACATCATCAAACTTGTGGACTTTGTTGACGTTTCAAATTCGAGCTTCAGAGGCCTCAAACAATTGACTAATCGTATGCCTATAATCAGCACACGCATAGTCTTGGTTAGAACTTTTAATATTTTAATATGTATACAATGCTCTGTAACGCTGGGTGTAGTAACGAAATTCTGAATAACTGGTATTCCATCCTAAAAGAGGAAAAGCAAATAGTAGGAAATTTGTATTTTTTTTTTTTTTTTTTTGTGATAAGAAACAAAGAGCTTCATTAATACAATAAATTACAAATGAAGTGCTCAGATGGATGAGAAAGCCATCTGAAACACAAAAGCAAAGAAATAACAAGAGGAGAACAAACAAAAAGCTATTGAACTAAATACAAGACAAGTCTAAAAAGACTATCTTAGCACGTCATCTCAGCTTAACAAAATTAAGGATACGGAGAATTGAATAAATGATGGATCTGTTGAAGCCCATGTAGAAGCTACGTATTTTGCCTTCTCAAATAAATCCTCAAATATCATTTCTTTTCCCTTGAAAATACTTTGATTCCTCTCCCACCAAAAAAATAGCTAAAATCATTGAACCTCAGCTGTAATATAAGTATAATAAATGTAGTAACAAAGAAATATAACAATGTACCTCAGTTGTATGTTCCATCAGATCTATTCAAGTGCAAAGTAGAAATTTTTCTGCATTAGTTCCAAAAATCGTTGCTGCTAAATATCCTGATTCATCATGTAACTGTACGTGGATATAGTATCTGCAAAGTAAGGTTGATGACAAAGTTTAAAAAGAACGATTAGAAATGAGGTAAGGGCATAAGCTTGACTCTTAAAAGACAATATACTACTGCAAATTTATGGAATAATGAAAGGGCTCACAATGTTTGACTTACATGATGGGTTTTCTAATCAATGTACTGTTAAGAATTAATAAAAATACGTTATGAAAGATTTTATATCCAATTAATAAAAATGTATTAAAGAATACATCTATAAACAATACTAATCTCCACCAGGCGTGCACTAAAATCTTCTATTGTCGTGCTTAACTTTGATTTATGCCCAGCTTGCCAACATGAGGAACCAAATAAACCACTCCTTTGTACCTGCAGGCAATAAGAAAACTATCCAAATAAGCTCTGCAAGGCTTAGCATCTTTGTATGTTCTTGTATGGCTATATGACCGGATATTAGGAGATAGAGAATCCGGATATTAGGAGAGGATATTTGACTTTGTATTGTTTCCTTATTTACAGATTTTGTTTCTCTGTTTTAGGGATTAGATTAGACCTCACTAAATCTATATAATCCCTATACAATTTCTCTAAAACTATGAAGGAATAAAAGAATTTTTCCATTCTCCATTGCTTACATGGTATCAGAGCCACGGCTCTCTCTTGAAAAATCAGCCTTCCAATCCTTCATCCGTGGCCTTTCAATTCCCTCTTTCTCTATTCTCTTATTTCCGCAATCTAAATGGATTATAGACTAGCAATGACTGGCCAAAAAAGAGACTCCTCTGCAGCGGGTGATAGTCCAAGTGCAGTGAGTTCCAGTGCCTCATCAGAGAATGTGCAATTGGGTTCAAGAGGGCCAGCAGTTAGTGGAGGAGCAAAGAACAGTGCTGACGATTTCTTTAGTTCAAGCATGTCCTTCCAATTGACCAGCCATAAACTAAATGGCCGGAACCAATGTTTTTAAAAGCGCCTGAGGCTTACGCCTCAAGGCCCGCCTTGTGGCGAGGCGCTGAAAAAACGCGTCAAAGCTTATGCTTTGAGGGTAGGGGAATGAGGCTTACGCCTCATTCATGTGAGGCCCATGCCTCAGGGCTACACCTCAAGAGGCGCATGAGGCTAACGCCTCTTACTTTGAGTGTCTTTTTTTTTTAGTTCTTTTAACCTAATTGATGTTGGGACCAAACTTTTAAGGAAGCCAGAGTTGACTAAGAACCAAAGAAAAATCACAGAATTGTTGCCTCCTCCCTTCTATTATATTGTTTCTCTCTCTCCTCTCCCTTTTCTTCACTCAGCCAAATAATGATCAACAATTAGATATCTTCGTTTTTTTTTTTTGAAACAAAGATTCAATATCTTAATCATGGATTTAAAAAGCGCCAGAGCCGCACGCCTTTGAGCGGCGCCTCAGGCGGTTAGTGAGGCATTCGCCTCTCTGAAGGGTCTTCTGGTGGGTTATTTTAACAGGCTGGCCCAAAAGTTTTAAAAAGCCCAAAGTACCCAGGCCCTTAATGACTAAGAAAAAACCCTAATAACAAAAGAAGCAGCCAGCCACTTGCACAGCCGTCTTTCCTCCTTCCTGGCACGGGCAAACACTCTTCTTCTTCTCTTAGTAGTGATGATGATTGATGAGTTGGGAGATTAGGCTTTTAGAAGTGCATTATGAACCTTATGATATTAGGATTTGATAATTATAGTCTTTGTTATGCTTCTAGTAGTGAAATAGACTTCTCTTTATGTGGATGCTTGGTTAAATTTCTTGTTTTTAATGATTTTTAAGTATGGATTTAGTCTTTGTTAGTATTTTTTTTTTCCTAAATTTTTTATAGGCATTTTTTTAGGCTTACGCCTCAAAGCGCCTTGAGGCTCACGCCTCACCTCGTACAGGCAAAACGCCTCAAGGCCCGATTCCGCCTTTTAAAACCTTGGCCGGAACTACTTGGAGTGGACTCAATCGGTGAAGCTTGCTATTGATGGCAAAGGGAAATTCGGCCATTTGACAGGGGAAAACACAAGACCGACTGCAAGTGACCGAAACATGGCAGCGTGGAGATCTGAGAACTCTCGTCACAACTTGGTTGATTAACTCGATGGAACCAGCCATTGGAAAGCCACATATGTTTCTGCCAACAGCCAAGGATGTCTGGGAGGCTGTACGTGAGATGTACTCGGATAATGAGAACTCATCTCAAATTTTCGAGTGGAAGACTAAGCTATGGAAGGCTAAACAAGGAGATAGAAACGTTACAGTGTTCTACAATGAACTTGTAACCTCGTGGCAGGAGTTAGACCTATGCTATGAAAACGAACAGGAGTGCCCAAATGACAGCATCCGGCACAAAAAAAGGGAAGAGAATGATCGTGTTTATGTCTTTCTTACAGAGTTAAATCAAGATTTAGATTAGGTTAGAGGCCGGTTTTTGGGGAGAAAGCCGTCGCCATCCATTCGAGAAGTTTTCTCAGAAGTTAGAAGAGAGGAAAAGAGGCGGATAGTGATGATCGGGAAAAATGAATCGGAGGCAGAAGGTTCTGCACTTATGTCCAAAGGGGCCACGGCTGAAGGAGAGGAAAAGAATAGCAAAACGAAGCCTTGGTGTGATCATTGTAAACAACCATGGCATACTCGGGAGACATGCTGGAAAATCCATGGTAAACCGAACAATTGGAAGAAAAAAACATCTGGAGATAACCGTGCCTCTCAAGCTAATGTTTCTGAATCAAGGACCGAAGCTACCTCTGGAATGCCGTCATTCACAAAGGAACAGATAGAGCAAATCTGTAAACTTCTCCAGTCTCAAAATCTCAATAATTCAAATCCTTCTTGTTCTCTGGTTCAGAAAGGTAATCATCTCATAGCGTCTTGTCTCAGTGTCAATTCAAAATATTCTTGGATAATTGATTCTGGAGCAACGGATCATATGACCGGATCATCATAATTTTTTTCTTCATATAACCCTTGTGTAGGAAATCAAAAGGTCAAAATAGCAGATGGTTCTTTCTCAACAGTAGCCGGGAAAGGATCAATTGTTATTTCTCCTTCTTTGACACTCCATAATGTTCTTCATGTCCCTAAGTTGTCACGTAATTTGTTGTCGATCAGTAAAATAATCGTTGATCAAAAGTGTTAGGCCAATTTTTCCTCTTCCGGTTGTCAATTTCAGGATTTGATCATGGGGAAGACGATTGGCAATGCTAAGCAAGTTGAAGGTCTATATCTCCTTGAAGATGCATACGACTTGAATAGGCAATCCCAGAGAACTTGTCTTAATTCTATTTCAATTCCATTAGCAAAAAGAATCTATCTTGAATCAAATCCAAGTAAGGTGAATCAATGTGAACAAAAAAGAAGCATATAAAACAATGAAATAAGGTGAGTCAAGGCATATTATGAATCTTAGCCAAAAGAAAAAAGGCCAAAACAAAACAAAACAAAAAAATAAAAACAAAAAACAAAAAACAAAAATTTTAGTGCTAAGTTGCAATTAGTACCGGTTATAATACTGTGTTTTTTTTTTATAAGCAACAAAGTGCTTCATTAATATAATATATTACAAATGAAGTTCTCAGATGGATGAGAAAGCCATCTGAAACACAAAAGCAAAGAAATAACAAGAGGAGAACAAACAAAAAGCTATTGCAGTAAATACAAGACAAGTCTAAAAAAGACTATCTTAGCACGTGATGGAACAAAAAGCTATGCTTCATTAACATATTTGCATTAATGAGAAATAAAGTGATGGAAGAATAAGTAGTTTACTTTCAAGGAGACAAATATAGAAAATAAATTACACGGAAATATTACACGATTCTTGTGTTTTTTTCTCCCTCCTTTTTCTTTATATCAATTATTAGTATCCTTATATACATAAGTAAATATAAATTCATATAAGAGAATGGTGAAATTGATATCGAAATTCAAAAGGAGAGGAATATTGATTAGATGCTTAGAGGCAACAACAATGTCGGAGCGATGGGGAAGAGGAATAAGCACACTAAGCCGAAGCAAAGACGCTTTCTTCTTACAATTATCTATCATGTCCTAATGATCAATCTTCCTCTCCCTTGGATTTTCATTCTGATTTCACCTTTCTTGCCTTATATTTTTTATATAAAATGAGTTTTAAGTAGTTTTTCAATCATATAAATGGCAAAATGAAAACTAACAAGAAAATGTAAATGCCACAATGAATGCATTGTAATAACAATGTAAATGCCACAATGAATGCGTTGTAATAACACAAAAATCATAATATATTCGTTGCAATAGCATGAACGCTACTTCTTTTGTTACCACCACTTTGGTTCCACTCTTTTAATTGACGACAGACTCCAATCATCAAATCTTGCACAGGAAACCCTTGGGCTGGAATATGCTTCCGCAGCTCAATCAACACAGAATGCATTTCTTTAGCCTCTTTTCAAATATCCCGCAAATATCAGTAAGATCAAACCAATACGCATTTCAACTAGAGCTGAAGAAGATGAAAATATTCACAACTAAAATAGATATTCTTTCAGTATAGATATTCCAGTTCTTTTAATTATTCTACATTTATAAAACGTTCTTTTAGTTGTTCTAAATTTATAAAAGCGTGAATTCATGCTAGGTTACCTTTCAAAGTTATAATTTTTTCTTTGTTTTTTTACTCTCTCAGAATGGCCAATGGGATCACATAGGAGCTTGTCCAAAACTCCAAATTGTTCTTTCATTTTTTTTTTTTTTTGGTCTTCTTTTCTGAGTGGGGAACCTGGTGGCATAAATCGAGTCCTTTTTTTTTCTTTTTTCCACTTTTCTTTTTGTTGCTCTCTAGTCTCTCAGACCCTTACTCTCTCCTGACTCTCTCTTCTCCTCTTTATTTCCTCGATTCTCCTCTTATGCTCCCAATTCCCCATGTTCTCCAACCTCAAAATTAACCAAGAAAAATGACTTACTGCCATGAGTGCTTTCCATTTATACAACAACAACAACAACAAGCCTTAATCCCAACTTAATTGGGGTCGGCTATAAGTGCTTTCCATTTATATTTTAATAATTCAAGCTATATATCAAAGACAAAACTAAGAAACTCCTCTGGAAGATATTCAAATAGAAAGAAAGATAAAGTAACAGAGTTTGATCACAAAATTACCTAGGTAGAGTCAGCAAACACTGAAGACAAGATGTTGATGGCGGTGAATGAATTTGGATAATCCAGCTCAAATATAATAGAACAATGATCACTGAAACTTTCAACAAATACCAAACAAGAAAACTCATTGAATCAACATTCAACAAGTGAGGAAGATATAAAAACACCCAAAAATTCTTCAAGTACCCAATGCATTCTTGCAGACGAAACATTCAGTATATATACAGATAAACATCTTAAAGTTTTCATCACTTTGATAATATTAATTATTATCAATACTAAATCACTTACTAAGCCATAAAATTAAGGATTCGTCCATTGAATTCTTCATTTATTCATGCTCTTGTTACCATTTTTTTTTTCATTTTATTTCCATTTTCTTTCTGCTTCTACGCAATAAAACAGATTACTCAGCAATCTAAACAGATCATATCAATAAACAATTTAAATCTGCAATGCAATCTAAGGCCATCGTTTGCTTACAGTTCTTCAGGCTGTTGTTTGATTACAAGGAGGAAAGTTGAGAATCAAATTGTGGTAGGAAGAAATCCAACTCCGGAGATGTTCTTGGCCGTAACATATATGTAGTAAGTAGAATACTTTCTCTCTCTCTTTTTTCCCCTTGCTCGTATTTCCTGGGAAAAAGTGGTTGAACATTTTATGTATACGACATGTTAATTGGTAGTCAAGCAGAGGCCAGGACAAAAGAAGCTAAGTGATCAACAAATAAAAACAAAGGAAGCCAAGTAAAAACTAAAGAAGAAGAGGGGCCAATGGGGGGACCTGAGGCGATTGGCCTTTTGAAGCACCGCCAGAATCCACAGCCAGCAACTACTTGATCCTGTCGTCGTCTCATTCGTTCCTCCACACTCAGTTAATTCTTGAATGCAATCTCTCTTTTTTTTTTCTTTTCTATGTCTCCGCACTTGAAACCAGTTTGAAGAAGCGGGACAAAGGAGGATGAGATTTCGATTTCGATTTCGATTTGAGTCAAATAGTAGCTTTAAATTTCAATTTGTTTGATCAATCAATTTCATATCATATCCAAAATTTAACCTTTTCTCAAAATATACAATAGAGGAAAATGAAGAGGACAAAAATGGAACAAAAAGATTAACAAAGCTTCCCCACGAAGCTAGTTAAGGCACTTAGTAATATATATATAACTGCTAGGGAAGGGAGGCATGTGCAAGGCATGTGCTTTTTTTTATGTATTAGGACAAACTTTTCTTTGTTTTTTTTTTTTTTTTGGTAATGAATTTACAAGCCATATTTAAATTAGTTAAAGAGCAGCAACAAAAAATTTTGGGCATGAAATCATTTGAAATAATTTCAAACTCTCGTATTGCAGCTACATATTCAATAATCACATCACACATTGATAATGAGAGATGAAAAATTAATTTTTCCTATTTCATAACAAAATTACTAAAGTTATGAACAAACTAAAAGTACTAGAACCAAACAAAGCTCATAGAACATAGGCGCCCTTTTTTGGCAATATGTACAATATATATGCAATCAAAAATCCATTTACATGACCTGCATTTCTGTGGTAGCTAATGTAGTTGATATCCTACAACAAACAGCAATGTACCTATGTTGCTTATTGGATCTTCAAGGGTAGGAAACGAACCTATTGCTGATTAAAATAGCAATAATTTTCATGAATCTGGATAAAAATTACATTAGCAAAGATAAATGAGGTGGGATTGTCAAAGTTATTTTTACACTTGAGCAAGGAGAACTTACAAAAATTGATCTGATACCCAAAACCCGGAGTTGTATCTGCACTTATAGTTTTTTACATGTCAGAAAATGTAATGCATTATATAACTTTCAAGAAAGGAGACATGACTTATTATGCGGTCAATTATGTAACATCGAATCTAAAATGTCAAATACAAGAGTATATGTGTAATTTTCAGTAACAGAGGATAATTAAGTGGAATGGAACATTAAATGTCAAACATATTGGTCAGTAAACGGTACCTGTACTGAAGTGCCACAGCACAAAAGATCAAAGAAGATTGGACTAAAATTGTATTCGAATAGTTACACATAGGATCCCACATAATCAATCCTACAACAATCTATCTATGTTCCTTATTGAATCTTCAAATAGATTAATTGAACACATACACAGTACTGCAATTTCCAAATAATAGTAATGATGATGATGAAAAGAATGAAATTAAAAAGGATTCTAATTGTGCTTTTTATCACTATACCACATATTTTTCTATTCTTTTTCTCATCGCAATATTACTTTATGTGCATATGTACACTATAGAAAGCCTACACAAATAATACAAAACGCCACAAAGAAAAATTAAATAAAGCTAAATTTAGATGTAACAAGATCAGAAGTTGGATTAGAATTTAATTATCCAAAAGACATTTCTTTCAAAGCATAATCCAATGATAAACCCTTTGATAGTGAATGCAATGTAAAAAATAAAATCTCCACGTCTCTAACCAAAAGCATAGTCAAAAGTAAAACAAATCAACACTCATTGAAACATTTTTAACACACGGTGTACTGTTAAGAATTAATAAAAATACGTTACGAAAGATTTTAATATCCGGTTAATGTATATGATTTGTTGTTATGACTTTTATAGTAGTTAGCTTTTGTTTGCCAACTCATTTCTTTACTTATCGAACAATGAGAAGCAGCATGTTAAAAAAAATGCAAAAACAAGCTAAAAAAATGTATTAAAGAATACATCTATAAACAATACTCATCTCCACTAGGCTTGCACTAAAATCTTCTATCGCCGTGCTTAACTTTGATTTATGCCTAGCTTGCCAACATGAGGAACCAAATAAAACACTCCTTTGTACCTGCAGGCAATAAGAAAACTATCCAAATAAGCTCTTCCAGACTTAGCATCTTTGTATGTTCTTTCTTATTTTCCCCCCTCTTTTTTTTAGGTAAATTCTTTCTTATTTTCCTTCAAAGCAAATGCTAGCTAGTAGGACCTATAGCAGATCAAAGGTATGAGCATGTATAGAATTAACGTCTAATCAAATACAGAATTATAATCAAACTAAACCAAAAACCACAAATATAATTCATTTGTGTACATGACAAGGTTGAGTTATAATTTGAGTTATATTTCACTTGGAGAATGCTGCTTGTGCATCAAGAAGAAACTTATTAGATAAATTTCGTCATACCTGATGTAGGAAATGTAGCAATCCATTAGCAAAATGAACCTATCTTGGAATCAAATCCAAGTAAGGTGAATCAATGTGAACAAAAAAGACGCATATAAAGTAATGAAATAAAATGAGTCACGGCATATTTTGAATCTTAGCCAAAAAAAAAAAAAGCCAAAACCAAACAAAACAAAAAAACCAAAAAAGAACAGTAAAATTTCAGTGCTAAGTTGCAATTAGTACCGGTTGTAATACTTGTGTTTTTTTTTTCCTGAAAAGAAACAACCTTTATTAATAATGAAGAAAAGGAAAGGGAGGAAGAGTTATCCTCCACAAAACCTTACCCCAAAATATAAAAACGATTAAAACAACCTTAAGCAATGATTTAAAAAAGCGATTTTTTTAATCTTTGGATTATCACTTGCAATTACTTCAGGGTTGAACCAGCCATTGTCAACTTGCTTTGCAAACCATGCATAAAAAGAAAAGAAAGCTATGCTTCAACTCACCAACATGTAACAATAGTGTTTTACCTATTCTTATAAGAGGGCAATGAGCTTAAAAACATTAAAAAACATTTGTTCATGGAAAAAATAAGGACTAAAACTAATCCTACAGACAGAGAAAATCCTTTCCGTGTGTAGGATTAAAACTCTCCCCTAAAATTATAGACACAATCCATGGCAAAAAGAAAAAAAAAAAAAAAAAGAATCCTTTTCAGTTTACTCGAAACAAGATGTTCTTTTCCTACGTTGGGATTTTGGCTTGCTAAAGAATTCTCGTTTTTGGCAAGGCAGGTGTATCGAAAAAACTTTGAAGCTCATCAATCTAATAACCAAAAAAATCACTGAATCGCCTATTAGTATAATGAAATCAGTCAGCCTCAAAAAGACTTATTTCTTCTAAAACAGGCCAATGAAGAAAGTAAATAAATCCCACGCACCAAAAGAAAATATAGGCCCTTTTATAATGTCAATTAAGTTTTTTCTTTTTCATTTTAGCAAACCACTCTAAAGATTTGAGTATTGATAGAGTATTGACAGATAATGAAAATAAAGTGTTTGTGATGTTACATCCAATCAGAAACTCAAAAACATGTAAAAAGACGAAATAGTATATTCATGTGTACCTGTTTGTGGCGATTCCGAACATCAGTGTTACCAAACTGATCCAAAATCATCAGTGTGGAAAATACTTTCCCGAGAAACAAACAAATAAGAAAAAACAAAAAAGAAAAGAAAATTAGTCCCAGGACAAGAGTAAAGATCAAAGAAGAAAAGCCTAACCCAGTTCTAGCTGATCAATTGCAACAGGCACAATGCAGAGCAGAGAGCTTCGCTCAAGTAAACGAAAAGGACTGAATCTGAGCAACGGCATCCACGTCAACCTTAAAATTTGAAAATAAAATAAAATAAAATAAAAAATCATAACAATGACCATGGAATTCACATACCAGAAGGCCAATATTTTTTTTTTAAAGGAATTTTGTGTAGAATTGTAAATTAGGGTATAGCATGAAGAATTTGACCTGACAAGAAGAGAAGCAGATAGCTTACCCTACGCTCTCTCCGGCAACTCGTCGTCTTCTTCCTCCGATGACGGTGCATCTCTACTCTACCCAAACGCCGGAGCAGTCCTCCGGTCCTCGTCTTCCTCCTCGGCGGAGCACCGTAGAGTTTAATTTGGAGAGAGAAATGAGAGAGGAAGAATTGACGAAAGAAAAAATAAAAGGAAAAGAAAAAAAAAGGGGGGGGCCTGCGAAACTGGACCTTACGATCCCCAACAGAGTTCATACCTATATCACAAAAACACTCCAATTCAGACCAAAATGTTCTCATAAATGCAATGGTGGAGCGTTCTCCTTGGATCCCCTCTGCTTCCGCGACGGCCGGTGCTTGGCTGCGCTAGGGTTGGGCGAGGCCGGAGACTCTATCGTCGTCTCCCTCAGGAACACGTTTCTTGGCTGCGAAAGCTAGAGAGAGAGAGGAAGAGAGGAGACGGAGAGAGAGAGAGAGAAATTGTGAGGGTTTTTGCATTCGAAATTTAGGACGAAATCGGTGCCTTTCTTGCATTTAACCTCAAATTACCTAAACACCTCTCGGTCAGTTTAAATTTCAACCGACATTTGCTATACTCTCATCCAATAACAATCGCCACGTCATTTTAAGCCGTTACTGCACCATATCCGATGCATGGCTTTTTTTATTTGGCGTGCATGACTTTTTTATGGCCTATTTAAAAGGTGGGTTTAAGTTATTTACGTCAAATTTTTAAAATTTTTGTGAGGAAAAGCATTAATTAATTTTTAAAGTTCAAATTTTTTTATGAAAAAAATTGCATATACTTTACTTGTATTGTTTCACAACCCCGAATTAAATTAGTTCAGGATAGTTTGAATCCATTCTTCAAATCAAATCTTATTTATTTATTAGTTAAATCACGTGTTACGCACGTAGGGAAATTTTTGGAAATTTTTGTGAGAATAGGTATTAATTAATTTTCAAAGTTCAAATTTTTTTATGAAAAAAACTCTATATACTTTGGTCTCGTTTATTTCACCGATTTGAGTTTTTAATTTTCAGTTTTACTACAGTTAAAAACTCTTTACATCTAATTTTTTTATTATAGTTAAAAGTTCTCACATAAAATCACATCTTAGTTTGAATTAAAAACTCGAATCGACAAACTGAACGAGACATTTACTTTTATAATTCCACAACCTAGAATCATATTGGTTCAGGATGGTTTGAACCCATTCTCCAATCCAAATCAACTCTTATTTACTTACTAGTTAAACCATTTGTTATGCACGTAGGGAATAACTTTATAAGATTGATCGCGTGTAAAAACACGTAACTCATTCTCTAAATCAACTCTTATTTACTTACTAGTTGAATATTACATATGTATATACACGTAGGACATGTATGAAAAGAATATTTTAACAGATATATCTGTAATAAAATAAATTAGACAATAAATATGAAAAATAATAGTTGAGAGGACCACATAAAAAAAAAGTTCCAATATGGACATATTTAAGAAAGATTACGACAAGAAGAACAAATTAGAGAAATGGTATCATGAGAAAATAATAGTTGTAAGGGCTGTGTGAAAAAACTATTTAATTTATTTTTATGGTAATCTTTGTTACATTTCCTTATTGAGAAAAAAAGTTTCAGTGAGCCAATTAAAGGAAAAAAAAAATATTTATAAGGGTCCCCTATGATATATTAATAACACATATTAAGCAGGGACACATTTAAAATAAATTAATTTTTTTGGGAGCAAAACGATAGAAAAAATATTTTAAAAAAGCATATAAAAATATTTATAAGGATCAACTATGATATATTAATTACACAAAAATTTAAACGTAGACATATTTAAAATATATTAATTTTTATGGGAGCAAACAGTAAGAAAAAAATATTTCAAAAAGCACATAAAAATTGAATTATAGACAAAGAAAAAAGAAATAATAAGTAGGAACAATTAGAAAGAAATTATTTTAATAGAAGCAAATGGGAAAAAGTTATTCCAGAATGCACATCCTCAAAATATTGAAGTTTGGGAAAAAGGAAAAAAGAAACAAAAAAAAGCAAATGAATAAATACAAGAAAGAGGCAAAAAAAAAAAAAAAAAAAAAAGGATGAAGATGGAAGGGGACGAAATAAAGTTTGACTCTTTTATTTTAAATATGTATATTTAATATATGTATGTACAGATGCATCAATCAAAACATGCATTTTCAACTAAATATTACATATACAGAGAGAAATAAAACATGTATGAAAATTATTTTAGCAGGCAAATTAGATATTAAATAGGTGGTACATATTAAAAATAATACTTGAATTCGAGTGTTGTTGGAACAAATATTTACTCTTTTCCTCTCTGTCTTTCAATGACATTACCTGTCTCAAAAACTTTAAAAATTAATGCCTTGTGTTTAGTTCTACAATCATGATCTAAGTGTATGCAACTCATCTTAAATAATCGCTTAATTAATCTCCACATCCATTCAGAATATAATAATTTATGAAATAACTGATTCTTTTTTCATTTTTTTAATAATAAATGATGGCCTGCAAAATATTCTGATAAGAAGAGTATATTTTCTTATCAACCAACACACGTAAACTAACCTACTAAAATAAATGATGTCCTAATATTACTTTTTCATCCGGAATAAATTACTTCAGAACCCATTCTATAAAAATTGGTGAAACAAATGATAAGTGAAAATCAAAAGGAATAAGATATGCCGCAAAAGATTTGCCACTTATCCCGTAGATTTTCTTGACACCGTACAAGAACTCACACTCCTTTGACTCCTGCAATGCCAGATAATTATATGCATTCAGCATTTTGATGTAACATGTCTCGTTTAATTGCTAGCAATAATAAAATGCTTAAACATTACATGAAAAAAAAAAAGAAAAAAAAAACAATTTTCTAGGAATTATTTTACTGGCTGAGGTCTTAATTTCAAAAGAATTGTACTTCGGTCTCTTTC